GCCCCTGAGGACAGGTCAACTCGAGGGGCCGGTGGCGCGGTAGTGACCCCGGAGGACAAGTCGACTCGAGGGGGGTTCCCACTGGCAACAGAACCGATGGAAGCGACGGGCGGTGCGCCTGAGTCCCCGTCGGAAGGGGCTTCGGCAGCACGGTGAAAATTGCCAAAATGGCCACTCGGCCCTGAAGGGGAGCCAGGGGTAGAGCGAGAGTCGCGACAGCGGCACGAACTCCTCCCTGCGGGGCCGCAACAGCATCGCTGGAGGAGCGCGTGCCTACTCTCACGGCCTCGCTCAGCCCAGGCACGCCTGGCAGCAGCAGCGTCGTCGCTTACAGCGACTCGCCGCTGCGTGAACCCTCGGCCGGTGCACGCAGCTCGCGTGCGTCCACCCCTGTGGTGGGATGCGCCGCCGTGGAGGGCGGCTCCGCCGGCGGCCTGGGAGCCGGCGGAACGGGCGCGGCAAGGGCCTGCCGCCACCCGCACCAGGTCACGCGACACGGGGGGGGCTTGATCCCCGTGAGGAACCATGCGGTTCCGAGGTAGCCGCGGCCCCCCACCAGCTGGACGATGAACATGCACCGCTGCAGCGCCTCCCGCTGGCAGATGAAAGCCAGATCGAGAGCCCTCTGGGGCGCCTCGGCAGGCAGCCCCAGTGCGTCCCCTGCGACCCCCTCGGCGGAGCCGGCGACCGCAGCGGGGTCGGCCCGCCCAAGTGGCGGGGGGACGCGCGCGGGAGGGGCAGGCGGGAGCGCCTGCGGAGGGGCGTTCGACCGAGCCTTCCCCCACGCTGAGACGAGCGCCGAAGCTGGGGTCCCAGCGCGCAGCTGGACGCGATGAGGTGGCGCAGGTGCCCTGGCCAACGTGGCCGCGATCCCGAATGGCTGAAAACCCAGACGAACCGCCACGTCGGCGAAGGGCTGGAGCGCCTCTAGCCTCGCGGAGGGCGCCCCCAGAGCGACGCGAGGCACACGGCCGTGACGGCGGCTCCAGCCCTGGTGGGGGCAGGAAGCCTGGAAGACACGGCGAAGTGGCCATAGGACAGCTTTGCGGCGGCGTGCCCAAATCGCGAGCTGCGGCGGGGGCTGAGGGATCGGTGCGACCCGTGCTCTGTGGCGCCGAAGCAGCGGCGCCCGGCAGGCAGGTACCAGCTACCCCGAAACCATCTGCAGCAGCAGCAGAAACATGTCGCGTAGCGCCTGACAACAAGGGGGCCGACACTGGCAGGGACGCGGGGTCCGTCGACGCCGAGGTTGGATTCCCGAGTAGCCCGAGCGAGTGCAAGATGGCGTGGGCGCTCGCACGGGAGGCACTGACCGCAAGCGGCTCCCTTGGAGGCAGGGGTGAGGCCCCTAGGCAGGGGATCGCCGACTGCCCACTTCCGCTGTCAGGAAAAGGAAACCCAACCGCGGCGTCGGTCGCGCAACGGTTGTGCGGCGGCGGCACCCGAGCGCCCGCCTCCAGGCTAGCGAGGCAGGGAGATGGCCCCACCTGCCAGACCGCAGGGCCCGACAGCGCCTCAAACCCAGGTGGCGGGTGGAAGGGCAACACTGTCGAAGCGCCCCCTGGCGTAATCGCTGGCGCTAGTGCCGGCGGAAGCGCAGGCGTCGGTGCTGCCGCCGTCTGTGCTGGCGTCAGGGCTGGCGTCGGCGCTGGCCTCGGTGCTGGCGTAGGCGCTGGCGCTGGTGCCGGCGTAAGCGCAAGCGTCGGTGCTGACGCCGCCAGGTGCTGGCGTTGATGCTGACGTCGGTGCGGCGCTGGCGCTGGTGCTGGTGTAAGCGCACGCGTCGGTGCTGCCGCTGTCCGTGCTGGCGCTCGTGCAGGCATCGGTGCCGGCCTCGGCGCAGGAGGAGGCGCTGGCGCTGGTGCCGGCGTAAGCGCAGGCGTTGGTGCTGCCGCCGGCAGTGCTGGTGTTCGTGCATCAAAGCCAGGCGGTGGGCCCATCCGCCAAGCACGCGGCTGTAACGGCGACTCCAACCCAGGGGGGGGCCGGAAGCTGGCGCGAGTCGGCGAGGCGGCTCTGGGACTGCTCCGCGGTGGCCCTGTGCGCTCGGCACGCGTCTGTGACGGCGGCTCCAACCCTGAAGGGAGCTGGAGTCCCGAAAGCGAGGGCAAAGCTGCCTTGGGACCGTCTCGCGGCGGGGTGCTAAGCTGGTTAACTGCGGTGGCGGCTGGGGGAGCGGTACGAACCCCTCCCTGCGGGGCCGCAACAGCATCGCTGGAGGAGCGCATACCCACCCCCTCCAAACCGCCAGAATCCACAGCGTCCGCCGCTACAGTAGGCGGGGGAGGCACCGCGCGCGACAGCTCGTGGGTGATTGCCAAACGAACAGAGCTCCCGCCCCGCCTGGTTTCGACAACCGACGGCTCCGACCCTGGAGGGGGCCGAAAACCCGCGGGAGCGGGCGAGGCGGCCAGAAAACTTGCTCGCGGCGGGCGGCCAGACTGGTGAGCCAGGCCGACGGTTGAGTGGGCGGCACGACCCCTCCCCTGCGGGGCCGTAGCAGCATCGCTGGAAGGGCGCATGCCAACCCCCTCAAATCCGCTGGGTCCCGATCCGCCCGAAGGGCCCTGGGCGCGCGCGCGCCTGTCGTTGCCCACGCGAGGGAAACGATGCCGCGAACGGCAGCTGAGCCATGGCGAAGCGGCGACTGGAGGGGGAGGAGTAGAGGGGGAGTGGAGAAAGAGAGGGTCCACCGACTCCGACTCCTCCGTCCTGGACGCCGTTATCTTCGCGCCGGTGGCCTCTCCGCCTGTTGCCAGGCGGGCGGTGTTCCGAGAGGCGGCGGCGACACTCGTGGCGCGAGCAATAGACCGTTCGGCGGCGGGCGGGCTCGACCCTTGAGTGGCGCCGGCAACGGGCGTAGCGCGAGCACTCTTCTTCCGGGCCGATGGCGCGGCCTCCTCGTGATGCGAGGGAACTCCACCTCCTACTCCTCTCCTCAGATGGGCGTCCGCTCCGGGGTCCAAGGGGAAGAGGCAAGAGGAAGGAGGGGAGTTTTGTAGCGGCGAAAGGGAGGCAGGCGCCATCGGATGCCGAGCCTGCGGGACGGGGCTCAGAAGCCAGCGTCACACGAGCAGCAGCTGCGGCAGGCGCGGGAGGAACCCGCGAGCAGGTCAGACGCCTGCCTTGACGGCCTGGCTGGGGCCACGCCCAGATGACACGGGCGCGCACTGCCAGGGGGGCAGCGGCGCCCGAGCGGAGAGTGTGCACACTCGCCGCTGCCGGGTGCCCACAGGAGGCAGCCGGCCCACCCCCACCCGAGCTCTGACTGGCGGGGTGAAAGAGCGACCCCGAACCAGCCAGATCACGGAGGAAGCGTTGGGACCCCTGCCTGCGGCAGTGGCCCAAAGCAGCTCGTAGCCCAGCAAGTAGAACACCGCCGCGTAGGTGAAGAGGAACCTGCGCGGCGGTGGCAACCGCAAGCCCCCTGGCGCCCTGGCCGCGCGCGCGCGCGGCGCGGGGAGCGGGGGGCGAGAAGAGCAAGCTTGGGGCCGAGAAGCTGCAGGACCTGAACGGGCGCGAGCGGCAAGGAGAATAGAGAAGCGCAAGTATAAACAAAAAAATGTCCAAAATAGCCCCCCCAAAAAAAATCACCCAAAAAACAAACTGTATATCAACTATTTTTTGAATACTCCTCCTGTAGAGGGACATGCTCGACTTACAGCATGGCCCACGGCACGTACGCGGGCGAGGGGGGGGAGCAGGGAACGCATTGAAAGAAGTAGAGGGCCATGAGATCGGGGAGATGTCAAACGGCCCTGGCCGTGCTGCGGTAAGGTTCCTGCCCTTGCTCAGGGCCACATGCTATGCCCTGAAACCGGATCGCGCGTCGCTCCGCTCTGCGGGGCGGGAGGCTCGGAAAAGCTCGGGACGTTGCCAGTCGGGGACTGGGACGTGGTTGGCGTGTCACGCCGAAGCGCGGTGGGCCAGATCCGGCGGCGCGACACGCAAAGCCAAAGTCCCCGACGGCATCCACAAAACACACCCCTAATCTTCGCCCCCCTCTTCGACGCCCACCAGCATTCGGGCCATAACTCGGCCTCCGGCGGACGTTCGGGACGAACCGGTCCGGGCACCCCTGGAGAAGCTCTCGGCGAGGCGCAGCTGCTGGAAAGCACCACGAGGCAGGAAAGCCCCGAGGAGCCAGCGAAAGCCAACTCCGAGAGCCGACGAAAGCGCCCTCGCGTCCTCGCACCCCCTTGGACGACCCCGACGTTGCCGGACAGGCTGCAGCTCCCCCCCCTCTGGTGGCAACTCATGGGAGCCTCCCATACCATGTTGTCTTGTCGGCTCTTGCGAATCGGCGATCATCTACGCTAAACCGACGCTAAGTCGACGCTACATGACGCTAAATTGGCGCTATCTCATCGACTCCAAGACGCATATCGACGCGAATCGACGCGAAAGACGGAATCGAGAGGGTGTATACCAGGCTCCCATGATTTGCTACCGAACCCCCCCAAAGCTCGGGGGTTGCCAAAGCTGCCACTGCCCCAAGGTGCCCCCAGCTTCTCGCTTAACCTTGGAGCCCCGGGGGCCCCCTGGGCCTCGCGAGGGGTGCTCTGGAGGCCGCGGGGGGGCCGCCTTGGAAATCCTGGGGGCACCTCCTTTGCCCAGAGGCACTTCTGGGAACACCCGAGCTCCCCTGAGATCCAACGTTGCGAAAAAAACAACATCGCAAAAAATCACGCCTGGAGCCCTGGACCCCATCTTTCTGCGGCACTGTTCGATCTGGATCGATCTGTGAAGGTCTCATGGCCCGAAGAAAGGCGAAAACGCCCGTTGTGAAAAATTGCGGCGCCAGGATCTCAGGGTCCTTCGTGCTTTGTACCACGGCGTTCGTCTGGGCTCGGCGCTCGACACCCGAGTAACTCCCCCCCCACCCCCGGAGCCTTCACGGAGGGGCTCGCGAGGGGTGCTCTGGAGGCCGTGGGGGGGCCTCGGCCCAGGGGCACTCCTGGCAACACCCGAGCAGTTCCCCCCCCAACCCTGCCGGGAGCCTTCACGGAGGGGCTCGAGACGGTGCGCAGGGCCTGGATCAGGTGGGCCGTCGCGGAGGGCAGCGGCAGGGTGACCTCTGCGGCGCTCTGCGCGTCTCGGCGGTGCGCCCGCGGGGACTGGCGCTAATAAGTCGGGCGCGTCCCTCTACAGGAGGAGTATTCAAAAATAGTAAACAAACAATCAAGAAATTGTCAAAAATAGTCCCTCTACAGGAGCATTCAAGAATAGTCCAGAAATGCTCTGGGGACGATTTTCGACTTTCGTTATCATCTTTGCACATTTGTTGATGCTCTCTTACTGTTCGCCCAAAATCCGCCTGCAGGAGGACAGGCCCGACCTGAGTGGAGCGAGAGAGAGGGGGGGCGGCCCGCCAAGAAGGCGGGGGAGGGGGCCTCCATGACCCCAGACCTCCGACGCCGTGATTGGTTCACGAGGAGGAGGAGGAGGAGAAGGACGAGGTGGAGGAGGAAAGAACAGGAAAACGGGCCACGTCGACCCCGGAGGTCTCGACCTCTTCCCCAGGACCGGCTTCTCCTCCTCCGGGGGCGGCCAAGAGGGGGACGTCCAAGCGGGGGGGTGCAAATCACGGCCGGCGGCACGTGCGCGGCCCAAGGGGGGGCCAGGGACGCAATGAAATAAGAAGAGGCGCCATGAAATCTCGGAAAATATCATGGCCCCCGCCATGATATCCCCCCCTGCCTAGTCATCACCGCCCTCTTAGCCGCCCCCGACTCCCGAGTCGTTGTTTGACGGTCCCGCGGCCCGGGAAGGGCCCCCCGAGGCCGAGAATGGCAAAAAACCTGACGTCGTGATTGTTGTCATGCCTCGAAGGGGTCTGGGAATAGCGGGACCTTTTCGGAAGCCCTCTCGGTTTCTGAGAAGCCGTCGCCGGGGATCGAGCTTCGAGGGTCGCGCCTCAGGATTTTGGACGACTTCGGGCATCCTTACAATAGTATTTCAAGCGTGGGGGACCTGCCTGTGATTGTAATTATAACGAAGGTGCAGATCCCCGACAAGTGGCATCCTTGTTTGTCGCAGCCCGCACACAAGGATTATATATGTGTGGCGACTTTCAAAAATATGTTTTTGTGGGCCATCTGCAGTAGACGCCACGGTTGAGATCTTTTGTAGCAGCCTTGAAACAGAAGGAGTAGTTTGGTGGCGCTCCTACAAACAATCTATTGTGCGAGATCTGCAACCAATAAGAATAGCAACACTTACAACTTGAGCTAACTGTTTCTGGATCCGTACTGAAACGCATCTAATTTAGTGTGATTCGTGTTTTGTCCTGCCACTCGGATTATCAAGGTAAGCTTCCGCGGTCCCACGGCGCTGCCTTTGGAAATCCCTTGCATCCAAAATCAATGTGTAAGTTGATTGCAACTGGATTTCACTTCTGGCAGATCACAATTTGTCTCTGATTTGGGACTGTCCAGTGTAGCTGACATGTTGGAGGATATCCGTGGCACTGCTGTCGAAGCCTTACAAGTGAAATCGTCATGTCCACCTACCCCTACAGGAATCAACATGTGAGTCTCTTTAGCTCTACATCTGATGTGAACATATGCAACAACCGGTACTTGTGGGGCAACAACATAAACCACATCTTGTTATGATCGCACAAGACGCAGGTCCTACAACCGACCCACCCCCCTTCTCGTAGTGGTGAGAACCGCCTCTTCTGAATTTGCTCTCCGGCGTTCTATGCAGCCTCCAGAAGGCCAAGATGGCCTCCAAAACGGCTTCCGAAACAGCCAATATGACACTAAGACGGCCCAAGATGCCCGAGACCAATCAAGAGGCTCCCAAGACAGCCTAGAAACAGCCCAAGAGGCCTCCGAGAAGACGCATAAGCGTTTCAGAAGGCCATCCATGAGAGCCCGAGGCAAAAACCATTGACTGTCATTCCCTGTTTGACAGACTCTGAGGTTCCCGCCTGTTTCTGTTTGCGACAATTGAAGATGACCCAGGAATCCTCGAATACAGATCCAGGCTCCCAAAACGACCCAAAAAGAGCCCCTAAGTCGGCCCAAGAGGCCCCAAGAGGCGCCCAAGAGGCCCCCAAGAGGCCCCCAAAGACCCCGAAGAGGTCCCAAAACGGCCTCCAAGAGAAACCAAGAGACCCACAAGAGGCTCTGCAGACCGACAAGAGGCCTCCAGGAGGCCCCTGCGGCATCCCAAGAGGCCCCCAAGAGCCGCCAGGAGGCCCCCAAGGCGCCCCAAGAGGTCTCCAAGAGACCCCGAGAGACATCCCAAGAGACTCCGAGAGGCATTCAACAAGTCTCTGGCCCACGGAGGTTCCTCAAGCTCTCCGATAAGGACAGCTTTCCTGGGCATCGTTCCTTGATGGGCTACTGGGGATGTTTTGCTCGCGAGCGACACGGAGCAACCGCGGCCGTCAAAGAGCGAAGCGACTACGCCACGTCCTATCAATTAAGCCCTAAGCGACAGGAGCGCGTTACGCAGTCACTCAGGCGGTGAAAACGACGCAGTAGACCGAGAGAAGTTCGCGCCAAGCCGAGGAGATCCAGGAGGAGGGTCTCGTTGCACACCACAGTGGTGAGTGAATTGGAATGCGACCGAGTCCAGATAGTAGACCCAAAGTCAGACGTCGTGCATGTGCTCGCCGACCACGAAGAGGCGAAACAGCGGGCGAAAGACGCAACGGGGGTCGCCGCCGAACGGCTGGTGGGGATACACAACGCGTGAAGAATCCCACCAGCCCTCTGGGCGCAGGTGGTCTAGAACAGATCCTCTTCCACCCCTCCCTCTTCCCCCTTGGGGAGGGGTTTACCCCTCCCCCAGACCCCCTCCCCTGGACCTGGACGGAGGGTTTCGCGAGCGGTCGGACGGCTCTTTTGGCCCCAAGATGGCTTCAAGAGCGCGTCAGAGAGCCCAAGATGAGCTCCAAGATAGCGCCAGGTCGCTCGAGATGGCCCCTATGATGGTTCCAAGAGGCCCAAAGACGGCCCCCAAGACTGCTCCTTGTGGCCAAAGGGCCCCCCGACGAGGCCCCGACGAGGCCCCAAATCCCCCGAAAACCTGAAGAAACTCAATGTTTGTTTGCTTTCTCGCCTTTTCGTTTCCGATGGCCATCCGAGGCCTCTAAATGGCTCCAAGATGGCCCAAGAGGGCCCCAAAAGAAGCCCAAGAGCGCCCCAAGACGGCCCCAAGAGCGCCCAAGGGCGCTCCAAGATCGCCTCACGTCGGGCCCCAGAGGCGATTTTTGGAGCTCCTGAGGGGGGAGGCTAGTTAGGGACCCCCCTTCGTTGATCGATCTCCTCCAAGATGGCTCCAAGAGCGCCCTCAAGGCTCCCAAGAGCGCCCCAAGAGGGCCCCAAGAGGCGCCCAGACGGCCCCAAGAGGCGCCCAAGAGGCCTCCAAGAGGCCCCCAAGAGACCCCCAAGAAGCCTCAAGAGGATCTCCGAAATGCATTTAAGACGCTTCTGGCTCTTCGGTTCGCCGTCCTCTTCAATTTATCATCCCCCTCTTCCTCCTCATCCTTCTCCTCCTTCTCCTCCTTCTCCTCCCTCTGCTCCCTCTCCTCCTTCTCGTCCTCCTCGTCCTCTCCCTACTCCACATCCTCCTCCTCATTCTCCTCCTCCTCCTCCTCCTCCTCCTCCTCCTCCCCCTCCCCCTTCCGACGAGGATTCCTTCTCCATCCTCCCCCTCTAGGGGTACGTGACAGCTTCCCCCGCCCTTTGTTATTCTGTATGCTCCCCGACTTCCCTGATCACCTCAAGTCCCCTGGGCATCGTTTCTGGATGGGCTGGTGGGGATATGTTTTGATTCGCGGCCCGCAAGGAAAAGTCCAGAGGGCGGTGTGAACGAGGCTGGGACACAGCGCACGGGAAGGCAGATAATTAACGGCGCAGCACAAGTGCCGGCCGAGAAGAAGCAGCTGAGCATGTGCCAGCGGCAGAAAATTAACAACGCTGAACATGTGCCAGCGAAGAATGCAAATGGGAAATACCAGCCGCAGAGCGTGTGCCAGCGAGGGTGGGGAGGGCGGAAAGGTCGGACCCGCAGGTGGGGCCAGACTGCAAGGCGGAAGGTGCCAAAACCACTCACTCACTTGGAACGTCGGCCAGACTGTACGCCACTGAGGGGGGTTCGGGCCAATGCCTGGAGATGGCCGACCACAAAGGAGAGCGGCTGGTGGGGATACGCGAAGCGTCAACAATTTTAACTCCTTCCTGCTGCGCTGTTGCACAGGCACGATGGCTGAGTTTACCGAAGTCAGATATACATACATGCATACCTGCATACGTACATACATAAGTACAGCTACATACAGACATACGTACCTTCAGACATGCATGCATCCATACATGCATACGTGCGTGCATACAAACATACATACATGCATACATGTATACATACATGTATACATACATGCACACCGAGTTATATACCGACCTGTCGGATGGCATACCTAACGACCTATATATCTACATGCGTACATACAAACCTACATACATGCATACATGCATACATACATATATGTCTGCATCCACAATCATTCATGCATACATACATACATACGCATGTACATGTATGCAGGCGGGCACACAGACAGACATACCTACATACATACATGCATGCATACAGACATGCAGACATGCATGCGTGCATGCATACATACATATAAACATACATACATACATATATACATACATACATACATACATACATACATACATACATACATATATACATACATACATACATACATACATACATACATACATAAATGCATCCATGCATACATATATACATACAGACATACAGACATACAGATATACAGACATACAGACACATAGACATACGTGTATGCACACATGCACGGCCTGTAGTGTACATACATACATACAGGCAGACAGATAGACAGAAAGACGGACAGGCATACAGACATACATACATACATGCGTACATACATACATGTGCACATGCATGCATGCATGCATACTTACGTACATGCATACAAACATACATACATGCATGCATATGTGCATACATACATACGTACGTACATATATACATGCATGCATACGCACTTGCAACCGTATACGTGCATGCAAACATGTATGCATATTCCTTCTACCTATCAAATTACAAGGAAAAACCCGGCATGTCACCGACACACCCCCCCACATGGACCCCAGATGAACCCCACAGGCTCCCAAGAGAGCCCCACAATGCTTCGAGACGGCCCAAAATACCCCGAAGAGAGCGACACGAGGCCTACATCGGGAGCCCAAGACAGCAGAAGGCACTTCCGAGACGTCCTCTGCAAGGCCCAAGAGGCCCCAAGACGGCCCCATAGTGCTCCAACAGGACCAAACATGGGCTCAAGACTGTCCAGGATGCCCCCGCAAAGACCTCCAACACGGCCTCAGCAGGCCAAAAACCTTAATTTTCCATTTATTTTTGAACGATTCTGTGCTTCTCGCCTTTTCTGGCCACGAACGGCCCAATAATGATCTGCGAGCTTCCGAGGTCGCCCCGAAATGGCTTCCAGGCGGCCCAATGGGGCCCCAAGATGGGTCAATAAAGCGCAAAGAAAGCCAGGGAGCGCCCAAGAGACCCCTAAAAGACCCCCAAGAGGGCTCCAACAGAGTCACGGGATGCTTCAGAGAGGGCCCGAGAGAGCCCCAACACGGCCCCAGGACGGCCCAAGCCCCCCCAGACAGCCCACGAGGGCCCCAGGACAGCCCAAGAAGGCCCTCCGATGGTATACAAAAGCACCAACAGGAGCTCCACTCAGTCTTAGAGCCGTCAAATTCTTTACACTCTGATTGACCTGAGCGGCCCCCCCCATCGCCCCTAGTTCTTCTCAACCTCGCCCCAAGACGGCACATGAGGCCCTGCAGACATCCCCACTAGAGCCCAAGAGGGTTCCAAGATAACTCTCGGCATGACCTACTCGGACGTCCGACAGCCCATCTCTCGTCCTTCTCTACCTCCTCCTCCTCCGTTTCCCCCTCTCTGCCCCTCATCCCCTCCTCAACCTCCTTCTTCCCTCGAACTCGTCGCCTTCCTCCTCCTCCTCGTCCTCCTCCTCCTCCTCCATCGCCCTCTCCTCATTTGCCTCCACCGACTCCGGGATACGAAAACTGATACTCATTTTCTCAGGAGGTTTTCTCCTGATCCTCCTCCAGCTGCTCCTTCGAGGCTCTGAAGACATCCCCAAGAAAGTCCAAGAAGGTTCCAACCTAACTCTCGACACCAACTCTTCGGAAATCTCCTCCTTCGAGGCTCTGAAGACATCCCCAAGAAAGTCCAAGAAGGTTCCAACCTAACTCTCGACACCAACTCTTCGGAAATCTCCTCCCAACCTCCTTCTGCTGCTCCTCCTCCTCCGGCTCTTTATCCTCCTGCTCCTCTTGCTCCTCCTGTAGTTCGTTGTCTTCCTCCTCCGCTGCCTCGTCAAAAGCCCCAGACCACATACTCTTATCACAAGCTCCCCAAAAGCAACCAGGGGTGCCAAGACAGACCAAGGGGGCTCCGAAGAGGGCCCACGACAGGCTTCCAGGGTCCGGGGAACCACAATTTGATGCGCAGTTCTCCTTTCGTCTCAGGAGCCCACGGAACACTCGCGAGAACTAAAACATACCCCAGACCCCAGACTGCTATCACCAGCTCCCCTGAAGAACCCACGAGACTCCTGGACGGTCCAAGAAGACCCCACCACGGGCCTACGACAAGGCTTCCTCTTGCTCTTCCTCCTCCTGCTCCTCTCTCTCCTGTAGTTCGCTGTCTTCCTTCTCCGCTGCCTTCTGAAGGGCCCCAGATCTGAGACTCATATCCAAGCTCACCAAAGACACCAAGGCGCCACAAGACACACCTCGGGGGCCCCAAAGAGATCCCACGACAGGCTTCCAGGGTCCGGGGAACCACAATTTGATGCGCAGTTCTCCTTTCGTCTCAGGAGCCCACGGAACACTCGGGAGAACTAAAACATACCCCAGACCCCAGACTGCTATCACCAGCTCCCCTGAAGAACCCACGAGACTCCTGGACGGTCCAAGAAGACCCCACCACGGGCCTACGACAAGGCTTCCTCTTGCTCTTCCTCCTCCTGCTCCTCTCTCTCCTGTAGTTCGCTGTCTTCCTTCTCCGCTGCCTTCTGAAGGGCCCCAGATCTGAGACTCATATCCAAGCTCCCCAAAGACACCAAGGCGCCACAAGACACACCTCGGGGGCCCCAAAGAGATCCCACGACAGGCTTCCAGGGTCCGGGGAACCACAATTTGATGCGCAGTTCTCCTTTCGTCTCAGGAGCCCACGGAACACTCGCGAGAACTAAAACATACCCCAGACCCCAGACTGCTATCACCAGCTCCCCTGAAGAACCCACGAGACTCCTGGACGGTCCAAGAAGACCCCACCACGGGCCTACGACAAGGCTTCCTCTTGCTCTTCCTCCTCCTGCTCCTCTCTCTCCTGTAGTTCGCTGTCTTCCTTCTCCGCTGCCTTCTGAAGGGCCCCAGATCTGAGACTCATATCCAAGCTCCCCAAAGACACCAAGGCGCCACAAGACACACCTCGGGGGCCCCAAAGAGATCCCACGACAGGCTTCCAAGGTCTGGGGAACCACAATTTGATGCGCAGTTCTCCTTTCGTCTCAGAAGCCCACGGAACACTCGCGAGAACTAAAACATACCCCAGACCCCAGACTGCTATCACCAGCTCCCCTGAAGAACCCACGAGACTCCTGGACGGCCCAAGAAGACCCCACCACGGGCCTACGACAAGGCTTCCTCTTGCTCTTCCTCCTCCTGCTCCTCTCTCTCCTGTAGTTCGCTGTCTTCCTTCTGCGCTGCCTTCTGAAGGGCCCCAGATCTGAGACTCATATCCAAGCTCCCCAAAGACACCAAGGCGCCACAAGACACACCTCGGGGGCCCCAAAGAGATCCCAAGACAGGCTTCCAGGGTCTGGAGAACCACAATTTGATGCGCAGTTCTCCTTCCGTCTCAGAAGCCCACGGAACACTCGCGAGAACTAAAACATACCCCAGACCCCAGACTGCTATCACCAGCTCACCTGAAGAACCCACGAGACTCCTGGACGGTCCAAGAAGACCCCACCACGGGCCTACGATCAGGCTTCCTCTTGCTTTTCCTCCTCCTGCTCCTCTCTCTCCTGTAGTTCGCTGTCTTGCTTCTCCGCTGCCTTCTGAAGGGCCCCAGATCTGAGACTCATATCCAAGCTCCCCAAAGACACCAAGGCGCCACAAGACACACCTCGGGGGCCCCAAAGAGATCCCACGACAGGCTTGAAGGGTCTTGGGAACCACAATTTGATGCGCAGTTTCCCTCTCGGAGGCTATCCTGAGCCATGCTCGGCTATGTTGGGCCATATTTAGGCTGTCTTGAGGCCTCTTGGAGATCTGTCGGAGGCTCTATCTTGAGCCATGCTTGGCTATCTTGGGCCATTTTGGAGGCCATCTTGGGCTATCTAGGGCTCTCTTGGAGCCATCTTGGGCCAAAAAGGGCGGGGTGGAGAATCTTCAGGAGAGGCTGGGAGGCCTCTCGGGCCCGTCTTGGGCCCCATTGTTCAAAAAGAGCGGGGGTCCTCAGTTCAGGTCCCCCCCTCGGAGGCTCTCAAACGGCGTCTTGGGGACGTGTTGGAGCGCTCTTTGGAAGCCTCTTGGGCGATCTTGGGGCCGTCTTGGGCCTTCTTGGGCCCCTCTTGGGGCTCTCTTGGGCCATCTTGGGGCCATCTTGATGCCTCAGGGGCCCATCGGAAGCGAAAAGACGAGAATGCCAAACACATTGACTTTCCTTAGGCTTTTGAAGGGTTTTGGCTTCTTGGAGGGCGCCGTGGAGGGCTCGAAGGGCACGTGGATCCGTCTTGAGGACTCTTGGAGGTGTGTCGGAGGCTATCTTGACCCATCTTGAGGTATCTTGGGCCATCTTGGAGGCCATCTTGCGACTTGGAGCGCCTCTTGGAGCCATCTTGAGCCATCTTGGACGCTCTAACGCCTCCATCCCCCCCCCCCCTCCAGGTCCAGGGGAAGGTTACCCCTCCCCCGAGCAGGGGAAGGAAGGGGAAGAGAGAAGACCAAACTCGTTATACCACCGTAGCCCTAAAGGGCTGGTGGGACTTCCACCTATAGACTTCCAGCCTCCATCAGCTCAGCACTCCGACCTCTAGCGTCCCGCATCCGACTTTCCACCTTCACCTCCACTCCAGCGTCCACCAACTCTGCGCCCTGAGCCCCGCCCCGGGCGCTACCGCGCACTCGCCTCGCCTCGCCTCCGCTCGCACAATTCCCACACACCTCATTGAACAATTGTGTTCTCGCCCGCGCCCAGAAACATCGTAGGTGCAAGGATCAAGATTAGAAGGCGAAGCGCAGCGAGCCTTAAAATCTTGTATTTGTAGATGCATATATCCCACCGCTGCGCGCCGCAGTTTTCCGAGGACCCAGCACTACCCGCTTCTAGTGCCGCTACTGGTGACTACTGCTCATTAGTGCCACTACTGCTACTGTCGATACTACGCCTATCTCCTGCGGGGCGGACCCTGAAGGCTGCGAGGCCTCTACACTAGTGCGTCTGCGGCTGCCAGGCGGACCCCAGCGACGAGGAGCGACACGAGATTGACGATTCGGTGGGCACTTTGTGCAGCGCCCGGGGGCACCTGTGGGCGGTGGCCATCACGCAGAAGAAGAACCTCCATGAGCGGATGGTCGACCGACTGGCCCTCGGCGCGGGCAGGCTCGACGCATGAGCAGCGGGCGGGAGACAGTCGTGCTAGTGCCCGCCTCTCCCGCCTGCGTCGCCTGGCCTCCCCCTCCTCGGAGCGCCCCCTCATTGCCGCTTGGATGCTTGAACTGGGTAAGGCAGCAGCTCGAGCGACTGCAAGACGGGGAGAGAGAGAGAGAGAGAGATACAACAAACATAGACTTATGTATAGAAATGCATGTATACACTCGGCGGTGGACAAACCTCCCTTTAGTAAACCCCTTCTTTAGTTAAGACGGCCTAGGACCGAAACCGACGGACCTGGACCCGCGAAAATGACGGCCGCGACGCCCTCTCGCGAACCGACAACGGCCAATTCGCTCATCGACGCGCCAGGGCAGGAGTCTCCATCAGCCTCCGATGCACGGATTCGTGCGTAGCAGAGGCCGCAGCCGCATGCTGGAGCGTGACGGCGGGGCCCGAGACGAGAGGGAAGGGCAGGGCACGGCCTCGGCCCGCGTGGCCGAGGGGCTGCTCCGGACCCGCTGGAGCAGACGCCGGCCCGCCGGGGAGGGGAGAGGGAAGGAACGGCGCGCGAACGGCGCGGCCCAGCGGCGCCGGGGCCCCCGGCTCCCGCGCGAGAGCCGCGCACATGGGACCAGGGAGAAATGAGGAGGAGGAGGAGGAGGAGGAGGAGGAGGAGGAGGAGGAGGGTAGGGCGACGGAGGGCGAGACGGAGCGAGAGAGGGAAAGCACACATCTGGGCACACGCTGCCAGAAGATGGGCGCCACTCGCGCGTGCGCCGGCCGCTCGCCCCGGGCGGTGTCGGAGGTGATATACCAAGACAGAAACCCCGCGCGAGCCGAGAACTGATGCCGAGACAGTGCGGCCGGGGCACACGGGCGAGCATGAAGTGCCGCGGTTGCCAATGCAACGAAGGAGAACGAGAGAAAGAGAAGAAGAAGAAGAAGAAGAAGAAGAAGAAGAGCAAGCGCATGGAAAACGAGTGCAAACAGGCAACGACTACAAGAAATAAGGCGCCACAAGTGTGGGGCGCAGTGGGACTGGAAGCCCTGCGAGCAAGCCGCCCCCGACGCTCCCAAGGCGGTGGACGCTATCCCAAATTCTGTGGGCAGCGCGGGGTCATGAACAAACAAAAATAAGCAGGCAATGCAGAGGTGTCGGGGAGGAGGGGAGGCGAAGCAGAGCTGTCCCTGGGAGTGGACTTGTCGTTCGTCTTCTCATTCACCTCGCACGCATCGCAGTCCACCGCTGCGTACGACTCGCCCACCGCCTTGGCACACTCTGGCCTGCAGACCATCTCTAGCACGGAGTGCGCATCTAAGCGTCCTGGATGGTGCGCTGCAAAAGGTTCTGCCCGCACTGGCGGTGGAGGCCAGGAGGTCGATGTTGCGAGAAAGGCATGAGCTGTCGCTGTCGGCGCACAGGGGCCGCTTGCGGGCCGCAGGACCACCAAAAATAGATGGCATGAGAAAGAAATTGGCAGCGCGCACAAGGGGGGCAGGGTGAAGGAGCCCGCTGATTAGAAGGCGCCAGCCTTGCCTCTACAGCTGGGGCCCGCGCCTTCTAAGGAGCAGGGGTGCTTCTGAGAAACCCTCCCGCCTATCCCCCCTCTGCGCGTGGCTGAGAAGAAGAAGAAGAAGTCCTAGCTCAAAAAAGGCCCCGCGAGGGAGCTGCACACAAATACAGCCCGGCTCACTGGCAAATGAACCGCCCGACAAAGTCTGCGTGCGATATCCATTGTAATCGTGAGCTGGCGGCATGACGCCATCCACGTAAACCAGCATGTTCGGCGTACTGGCGCAGCGAACTCTCCCATGTCATCCATGGGCGGCACGACGGTCGAAGAGGCCTGACATATACGTTACGCCGAGCAGCCGTCCACTCGCCATCTCTCCACCTCGCCAGGGGTCCAAAGATGAAACCACCGACCTCTCCGTGGACACGTTTTGATTAGAATGTCCAAGTGAATCCAGCCTTCGCCACCAGGAGCCTCCCGGAGGCCCAGGAGAAGCAACTTACCATTCAGCAGCCGCGTGGCGCGCACATGGGCAACGGAACGGAACTAGCGAGAGCTGCTGTGCTCTCGCGTTGTGCTCTTCCACACGCTTGCCGACACGGCAGCAACCTCTGGCCAACTCTCATCATCTTCCTGCGTGCGCGTGCATGCTCGGCGTGTCCTTGCACCTCGCGCGCCCACGCCTGTTCTGGGGCGGCCGCGCCGGCAGTTCCAAGGCAGGCCTCGGAGCTCGAGGCCCAGAACGAGCGGAAAAAACACCCAACAAATCATCGAACCTTGACAACCCTGACACCTGACGTCATGCTTTTTCACAACGTGGCTCCCTTGAGGTCTCTTCATCCTAAAACGTTTTTGGACAGAACCGGGGTCAGGCGAGGGCTTCCTGCGCCCAAAACCATGCGTCGTGATCTTTGCTTCACAACGCGAGGATGTCCCAGAAACAAAGACGACCAACAAATATCGAACTTCAACTAGAGGCCTCCCAAATGAGGTCCGACTGGATGGGGCCAGAGGATCGCTCCGCAGCGCCAATGCATCGCCGACGCAACGGCGACGTCGCCGATGCATCGGCGCCCCCGGTGTGGAGAAAACCTCACTCCACATCGAGCCGCATCGCCGATGCATTAGCGATGCAGCGCGATCCTCCGACCCCATCTGCCTGTCCTTCGCTCGGACGCGGTTTCCGTGTGCGCGTTCTCTTTGTCCGCTCGGGCTGCCGAAGGCAATCGAACTCCCCACATCGCCGCAGGGCGGCCTGCATGGGTCCCAGGGGCCCACGTCGAGCGAGTGGATGCGTGAAGGGGCGCGCAAGAGTGCATGAAACCCACGCGTCCGAGCGACACCCAGCCACTCGGACTCCACTTGAGGGGCCTGGAGGAGGAGGAGGAGGAGGAGGAGGAGGGCGGCCGCAAGGGGTGGCCTTGCGTCTGCCAGGGGACACGGGCTCGGCCGCGTCCCCCTCGAGGCACGCCGGGGCGCTCGCGACCTTGCCCGTCTCCGCCGCCCCGTGGCGGTCGAGCACCTGCCGCCGCGGGAGCGATCCGGGGGAGCAGGCCGCGCGACACGGAGCTGCGGGCCAGCCAAGCTGTTGGACTTCCGACGCGCGGCTGCTCCCACAAAGGCAAATTGCGATTGAGAGAAAGTGCTAGCCAACGCAAACCCCAAACAGCGTGCTCTTGCGGCATATGTGGTGCAAGCTACGTAAGTCAATATACGTGGTGCAACATACAAAGACGTGCGCATGTATACATATACACATGCAAGAACATGTTCTCATGTAACACTTGTTTTTTCTTCCCACACCAAGGGTCTGTGCATAGCGGCGCTAGCACAAGCCAGCTTCGGAGGCGAGACACCAAGCCTGCAAGCCAACAGGAGGCCCACCCAAAGCCTCGGGGAGCCCAAGCCCACAGGGTCCCATCGAAACCAGGACAAGCGAGTTTCGGACCGCGATATATGCTGCGCTGCCATGTGCTGCGGCTTCGCAGTGCGGCGGTGGATGACGCTTTCACACGATCCACACCCCGCGAGGACCGCTCGCCACCACACGACACGGAGATCGACAAGCAGGACGGCCAAACGGGAGTAGACGACAGGGCCTCCAGCAGCTACTCCTTCCCCGAATTGCCGCCACCCCCGTGCCCATACCTGCCCACGCTCTCTACCCTCCGTCTGGAAGGGGTGGAGTCAGACGGCCCAGTCCACGCCCTGGTCAAGTACACGATTGAGTGGAGTCATACAATCTCCACCCTATGGGCCGCCCATGCACAGCAACAAGGAGAGAGCATCAAAGGTGACATAACCGACGAAGCGAGGTGGCCGACTGAATTGCTGCTCCCCTTCTTGAGCACGGTGTACGGAGAAGACATCCCAGACAGCGGTCACCCCCCGTACGTCCCATGGGACGGACAACGGGCAGCGGCAGCCAGGGTCGTCTCACACCTGGTGGGTGGGAACCAGAAATACCAAGAGGACTGGGACCGCTACGCAGACAGCCTCACCAACCAGAAGGGGCAGGGCCCCTCCCGACAGCCGCTTCACATCCTCACGGCGTTCCTTAACAGGCTGGAAGGCTCCGACTTGACCAGGGGAGCCATCGACCACCTCGCTGCCCTGCCCCTGGAGCCGGCCGCTAGCAGCTCAGACCGTGGTGAATCACCAGCCGCCAGCTGGCTCAACAGGCCCAGCAGGAAGGAATCCCCCGCCGCTGATCGCCGAGTGACGGACCACGGAGCACCCCCGACCCGCACCGACGCACCACCCCCTCTGCCCGCCGAGTCTGACCGGACCCCTGCTGCCCAGGAAGAGGAGCAATCCCCACCGGGGCACTGGAAAGGCGAAGGCGATGTGGAAGGGGTCGATTGGGGTGAAGAGGCGGGCAGGAAATCCGAGCCTGACGCCCACGCGCGATCTAGCCCGCAAAACATCTCCGTAGACTCCGGCTCGCAGGTCAGCCCCACCCATCCCGAGGACGACATAAGTGACACAGCCCCTCCCGTGGATGACAAGGTGACCCAGGACCCCCCACAGCTATGGACAAAACCTCCTGACAGGACCGATTCAGAAGTCTGGTCCCCATACGAACAGGCAGCCGCCAGGGGAACACTCAGAGATAGGTACGCCCCAGGCGACCCTCGTAGCAGGGATGATCGGACCCGGAGTCTGAACGCCGCACGGGACAACAGGACTCTAAGATATGCGAGTGGCGAAGGTGGCCGGCAAACACCCGCGGCTGACGAAGTCAGGGCCAGAGAACGCTCGGCCACCCCGCCCCCGCGCGACTCCTCCCGGCTATTGCGCGCCGCCCAGGGCTCCTGGAACGACACGCGGAGAACGCCAACACCCGCAGCAACCCCTGACGATCCCATGGGAGGCATCCCCATGCACATGTGTTCTGTTGACAGAGCGGACGTCTATAGGGACGAACCCGCACCCGAAAAGATCTCACGGCTGCAGAAGACGCTGGGAGGCGCGTTGAACGGAGTCTGGGGCGCCTGGGTCAAGAGGGCAGCATCCAGGCAAGGGAGCCACTACATCAAGTTCGATCCCAAGCTCAATCCCGCACAACAGTACAACGACTTCCTCCAGGCATGGAGCAAAGCGGAATTTGACGCCTATAAGATGGATAAAGAGTTCAAACTCCACGTTGACTGGTCGAGTGTCAAGGAGAAGCACCGCGAAGTCATGCAACGCGACTCCAGACCGCACACCGCCTGCGGGACCGACAGCAGTGGCTGCCCACCCCCATGGACCGCAGCGGGCAAGGAGGCTGCACGGGCTGCCCCGCCAGACCAGTGGACCGGGGCATCCAGCTCTGGCTCGTCGCGGCGTGGATGGCAGTCCTGGGACGCGTGGGGGCACCAAGGGGCGTCATGGACCGACACGGACTGGAAGGCGAAGGGCAAGCGTTACTCCCCCAGAGGAGAACACCTGTACGCTGACAAGCGCCCGCGGGGTTGGGACTCCCGACCCAAATGACGGGGGCGCAACGAGGACCTTCCCGGGTTCAGCCCTCCCCCCCCCCGACGTGAACAGGGCCGCAACGCTCGCCGATACGGCCCACCAACTCACGTGCTGCCTGCCGCGCGCAGCACAGACTACCTCCCCCGTCCCTGCCCGGCATGCGCCGCAACCCCCTCCCCAATCGGTTTCACCCGCAGCACCCAGCTTGTGCCGCAATACCCTGTGCTACCTCCTATGGGGCGGAGGAGCGCCAATACCCTTGCGCTGCGATTTTAGACAGCCCACGCTGGACTCGTGAACCTTGCAGAACCCTGCCTCGACCCAAGACGTGCTACCCTCGCGGGGGCGAGGGGCACCAATGAGCGTCGCAGATAGACAGCCCACGTTGGAGACGTGGACTTTGCCAGGCCCTTCCCGCTGCCGATCGCTGCGCGGGAGTGTGGCCACAGCCTCCAGCACGGAGGCCACCGCCATCATGGACTCTGGGGTCGTCTGTGCCCTCCCAGGGCAGCCCACTTTGGACGGCAGTGACGGGTGGCTGAATTAACCCACCTCCTGCGCTCCACCCTTTTTGGCACAGTGTACGGCAGAGGTTGGAGTAACCAGCGGCCGCACTGCCAGCGCCCAGCCCCATTCGCATCATGGGCTTCGGGGTCGTCGGTGCCACCCCTCCAGGGCAGCCTACTTTGGACGGCAGAGACTGGTGGCTGAAATAACCCACCTCCTGCGCTCCACCTCTTTCATAGCATATTGTACGACAGCGGGTGGGGGTCGAAGTACCGCTCCGCCCGCGATCAGACACACTCCCATGTGGTTTGGCAGCTCTGTGCGTGGACGATCGGGATCGCCAGCAGAGTTCAGCGGCCATTGGCTGCGCCCCCTCTTCCTTGTCGTGCACATTGTCTCTGCGGCTTTGGGCTGCGCCCCCCCACCATGTCTTATTCACAATGTCTCTGCGGCTCTTGGCTGCGCCTCCATCTTGTTCGCTAATATTGCACCAATCGCAGCGTGAGTCTCAGGGGCCTGGGCACACCAACGCGTCCTGGGCTGTGGCGGCGCCCCCTCCTCTTCCTCCTCCTTCTCCTCCTCCCTCCCCCCCTCCATTCACAATGTCTCTGCGGCTCTTGGCTGCGCCCCCCCCCCGTACTGAGAGTGCTGCGACCGTAGAGGTGCGTCCGCCCTGGGACGGTCCGCGCATGGATGTCCAGGGCGCAACATCTGTGTCCAGCGGCATCTGGCTGCACCCCCCTCCGTTCATTCACAAGTTTCTGCGGCTCTTGGCTGCCCCCCCCCACGATCAACGGCAGACACAGCATCGTGCGTGGATATTGTGACATGCCCAGGGAGCAACAGTGTCGACCAAGCCCAGCAGGTCAGCACGCAGCCTGCGCAAGGTGCAGACCTGCGGCCAGGCTGCGGGCGGCGGTCTGCCTGCCCCAGCTCCGGTCGCATCCGTCCTCCGCAGGGGCAGCGTGCAGGCATGTGGTGGACGGGGCTGGTACCACGCACCATGGTGAGTGCCCACGCCGTATGAGCAGCCCGCATCACGTGGTTCAGCCTTCAGCGGTCAGATGGCAGTTCTTCTCGACGCAGCTAAGACATCGCCAGGACATCGCATTGTTGGGCCCCCGGACCGCGTGTGCCGGTTACGATGTGGATACTGGCTATCGGCTGGCCGCCAGCCTGCGAACGCTGCCGTAATGCGGCCGTGGAGCGGGGTAAGCCCTTCCACGGTGACACCGCGCTCGGCGCAGGCAGCGCCACCCCCCCACCTGCGTATCGCCCCAGTTCTACGTTGACCCGACCATGGCGCTACCACAAGGACGTCGTCTCTGGCTTCATGACAGGTGGAGATAGGCGTGTTCGTTAGCCTCAGTTCCGGTGTTACCTGATGTCTGGCTTCACTAGGGAGTGGTCCTGCACGAGTGGTTCATCCTTCTGCGGTTCATGGCCGTTTCCCTAGCAGACCTGTCTGCATCAGCCTCTGTCAGTACTCGCATCGTTGTGCCCCGGAACCGCGAGAGTCGGATACGTTGTGAATGCACTGGCTACAGGCTGAAGGTGGCGCCACCTCGTGCCCGCCGACAGGGTCGCCCCCCGCTCTTTTGCAAGGACGGGCTTCAGCCGAGTTCTGCGTCAGGGAGCCATGGTGGGTGAGGCCGTTCTCTGTGCCGCCCTCTCTTTTTCTTGAAGATGCTGTGTGCCCCGGCGGCCTTTCGCACCAGCTCTCTTGTCCCCTCTTGGCCTCGCTTCCGTGAGTCGTTCGGCCGGAGACAGGCGCCGCCAGGGCGACTTCTCCCCGCTGTTCTTGTACCGTTCCAGTGCTGGTCGCCGCGCGTTCCCACCCGTTGGGATGCCTGGCTCGATCACCTGGCCACGCTGTACCGCCGTTGCCGCCGCACGTTGCGACGTGGCGTCCCCACCCGCTGGGATGTCGGCGTCGGTCTTCGGTGTTGAATTTGGGTCCTCTTGTCCCTTGCATGTGCATGCGCCTCTTTGGCTAATTATCTTCGTTTCGCGCCCCGTTCGATGCCCCGCTTCCTGACCTTCGCCTGGGAG